ATCCACACCGCCAAATAATAGATTACGTCACGGTAGCCATAGGGATACCTTTCTCCCGTATGCTACGTACTCGCAATGCCCGCCATTGTAAAGATAGTGAAAGTCGTATCCACACAATAGTTCTGTGATTTGGCTTATATTTGGGGATTATTTTATTGAAAACACATCATTGTCACCAGCAAGTTCATCTACCCCCTGCTTAGAGACAGAATCAATGACATTATCAATGGAGTCATTTAAATCCCAAGTCAAGGTAACCTACTTGAAGCACGTTTTCTATCTCAATATAAGATGTTATAATGTGTTAGCTGTGATTAGTGTTTTTATAGTAATGTTAGTCGCCTCTAGCAGAACCTCGTCTTTGTCTCCATATTATTCTTCCCAGTCACGCGCACTAATTTTGACAATAGTGTCCTAATTACTACCAAATCCGTATTTTCCTTTGCATAACATTAGTTGTCTGTCCCTGTAGTGCCAATGACCAGTCACTGTCTACGGCAATTGATCACAAGGCCACGGAGATTGAAGTATATGGTGGAACAGTGCTCCAACACGAACCTGAACGAACATAATTTGTTTCGTTTCGAAGTACCTATCGGTGTGTCCTTTACATTGCCGCAGGTAGATATTTCTACTGGACTAATGATTTTATACGAGATCTGAACAGCCTCTTTACAAAAATCAATACAAATTACCAAGTAAGCGAGAACAATTTAAACTAACAACTAGTGACCACTTTGATTAATAGGTAGATTGCTACTCGTGTTTTTTTTATATGTGCGTATGTTACCTAGTACCAGTGGCAATATTTCTTGCAAAAATATGTCTCAGGCTGTAATTACGAGTAATTAGTCCCCGCTCGGTCTTCATCCGTCCGTCCGGAGTATTATTTCGGAATCCTCTGGAGCAAATCCAAAAGATCGTCTACTGCTGTTAATTTTGCTTTTCGGCCAAACAAATCAATTTGTTCATATTTTTCTTGGGGTCCGGACCCCCCCCCCCCCGTTAAAAAAATGTATTCAATTTGTTTTTGTATAATATAAAAAAATCATTAACAGTCTGGCGATTTTAATGTTTGACCCCCCCCCCTCCCATAAAAAAATCCTGTATCCGTCCTGTTTCCATTTGGATAACACGAGTCTGGTTGCAAATGAATTCTTGAATGAAGATTTCAGACTAGTATACCAGTAATGCTTAATGTATATGTATTCAAGGTACAGAGGCCTATAAGTACATGTACAAGTAAAATATGTCAAGAATGTATTACAGAACGCTTAATAATAACTGTGTGTGCTAAAATTTACATGGTAACTAGAATAACAAAACAGAACACAAATAAACAGGATTTTACATTACAATAATACTAAAAATCTAACTTGTTGAATCACGTTTCTTAGTTGCATAGAAAATAAATTTGGCAAGGTTTCTAACAACAGTCACATTTAGTGGTGTCCATTTAATGTATAAATTCGTCTATTGTGGGGAAAATAAGAAAATTCTCTGGGAAATATTTTAGAATGGGCAAATCAAACAAAAATGAAATTCATCCTCAAGTTGATTAAGTTTACAATAAACACTATGTAATGGTGTCTACTAGTTTTTACAGCAGATTATGAGACTATGGTTGTGGAGAAAGCTTAACTGACACGAGTAGTCATGTGTTAAGTTGTAGAAATCTGTTATCACGTTGACATACATCTGAGATGCTGTATATCTCGTGTATATAACCAAAATATTCTGGTTTTTTTCGTGCAAATATAGATACAATGTATGTTAGTCACTTGGTACAAGTTCATTTTTGACCTATGCTCCATTCTCATGCAATTGTGAAACACCTTAATATCCCGCCATGGAAGCATGAAGTAATGACATTGGGTAACCCCATAACAAATAATCTGGCACACACTTACAATACTATATACATGCATTTTACTTGAACATGGATATATAAGTATGAGAAATTATATATCCTATAAATTGCTGACGATGTGATATTAGATGCAAATTTAGAACAGATTTTGATGAAACAGGATTCGCCAATTACTGACCATACACTACAAATTCATTCAGAATCAATTTACCAGGTCACAGTATTTTGCATCTCCTTTTTGATTACATAACCGATATACTTGGTACTTACATTTGTAGCAATACATGTTCATGACAATTCAAATCTTGATCGGAACAAATACGAAAAATTTGTAGTTATAGTGCGTTTTAGCCATTATATTATTTTATCTTAGGCATGAATAACATTTCTATGTAATTGCAACAGGGACTATGTCATTATCAATGGCACATTTTTTTGGTATTGGTCAACAGTACACGTGAACTTGTTTTAGTTACTGTTATCATAATTTTTGTTTTTGTGAAATACTGCCAAATAATGAAAATCACATTTCATCATTAAAACAGATTATATAGGATGTCAATTTGAAAACATTATATCAAATAGTAAATTTAAGAAAGTGGTTGATCACCCTACGTCATCAAGTTCAATTTTGAGATATATCCTTGCCATATGATGAAATAAACGTAAATTGTTCTAAAACATTAACTCTATTTTTAGTGGATACGATGACACCATATTGTTATTAATTTTTCGCTATGAATACTTAATTTCACATATACAAACGAAAATAAATAGTGTTATTTACTGCATATCTAGGTAGTATTAAACATTTTTTTATTTAATCAAATGAGCATATTGTCGACTTAGTCATCATCCGCTTTACTACTAAAAGTCTAGCGTCTTTTGGTGAAGACAAATGAAATTCGAACCCTCTTCAATTCGTATTATCGTGGATGAATAAGACTTCCTCTATAAAGACCATTTCTATAACAGGCTTCTTTTAATTTAAACATTGAATGTGAGACCTACACATATTATGTATGTACACGCCATTTGGATTCGTTCAAGCATTACAAATGGTTATTTTAAACGGCATGGTGTATATGTCCACCATGAGTAATAAACAATGTGTTTCCATTCGTGCAACTACGGGTCCATGTCCGGTAGACTAAACAAGTAAACGATAAATCGGTTTACCTGAAGCATGGATCCGAAACTGAACCCAAGAAATACTGTGGTAGTTGTCACAACGAGTATAATTGCTAATAATGTCGGGCTTAAGGTAGCGGGACTATTATTTGCATACTTGTTTTCATCTTCTAATTGTGACTAAATGACTACAAATAGACCCGGGAAAGTATATATTTTTAGAATCGCCAGACTTCAAGCTTTTCACAAGTGTATTTTGCATGCCCGTATCTGCATTCTATAACGCGTTACTC